CAACCCAACTTATAGGAATTATGCAACTTTCTTTCTTTTTCGTGTGTATTGGTACATGAATTTTGTTGCTTGTGTGCGCTCGATAGTTTGTTTGGCCGGATTTTTTTTTTTAGCATCCGTGCCGACCGATTAAATCATTTGTGTTGGTTCGAAGGGGAAAACATAGGTATTTTCAAGTTCAAACAAGGCCCAAAACAGGAAAGTCATTTTTTCCCATTTTTTCGTGTGTTTCGTCCATGAATTTTTTGTGATATGTGAGTCCAGGGTTTTTTGGCAGAAATTTTATGTGGGTCTCTATGATGACCTATTAAATGGCGCACGTTGGTACGAAAGAGCAAACGTAGGTATTTTCAAGTTCAAAGAAGGCCCGTAACGAAAAATAGTGATTTTTTTTATTTTTCGTATGTTAGTCCATGAATTTTGTGTGATAAGTGCATCCAACAATTTTTTGACAAAATATTTTTGTTGTCATCCGTGGAGACCTATTAAATGGTGGTGTTGGTTCAAAGGGGCAAACAAAGGTATTTTCAAGTTCAAATAAGGCCCAGAATGGGGAATAGTGAAATTTTTTGTTTATCATGTATTATAGTCCATGAATTTTGTGTGATATATGCAATCAACGGTTTTTTGGCCATTATTTTCCTTGGACGTCCGTGACAAGCAATTAAGTGGCGCTCATTGGTTTGGATGGTAAAATGCACATTTTTTTCAAGTTCAAATGAGGCTAAAATGAAAAACAGTGATTTTTTCCCATTTTTCATGTGTTATAGTCAATGAGTTTTGTGTGATATGTGCCCCAAAGGTTTTTTGGCCCAATTTTTTTTGGACATTCGTGGCAACCTTTTAATAGCGTGCGGTGGTTCAGAGGGATAAACGTAGGTTTTTTCAAGTTCTAACGAGTTCCATACTGAGAAATAGTTATTTTTTCATTTTTTTGTGTTATAGTCCATGAATTTTGTGTGATATGTGCGTCCGACATTCTTTTCGCTAAAAATTTCCAGTGGGCGTCCATGACGATCTACTTAATGGCATGTGTTGGTTCAGATTGGCAAATGTAGGTTTTTCTAATTCAAATTAGTCTCGGAAAGGAAATTGCAATTATTGCAATTTTCATGTGTTTTAGTCAATGGATTTTGTGTGATATGTGCGTTTGGCGATTTTTTGGCTGAAACTTTTTGTGGGCATCTGTGGCGATCTATTAAATAGTGAGCGTTGGTTCGGCGGGGAAAATGTAGGTATTTTCAAGTTCAAAAGAGGTCTGAACAAGGAAATAGAGATTTTTCTATTTTTTGTGTATTATATAGTCCATGAATTTTAGTGATATGTGCGTCCGGTAATTTTTTGGCCGAATTTTTTTGTGGGTATCGTGACGACCTACTTAAAGGTGTGCATTATGGAGGGGAAAATGTAGGTTTTTTTCTAATTCAAATGAGTGTCTGACCAAGAAATAGAGATTTTTCCATTTTTCAAGTGTTATAGTCCATGAATTTTATGTGATATGTATACCCAAAGATTTTCTGGCAATCATACTTTTTAAAAAAAAAATAAAAAAATTTGGCTATCAATCATACTTGAATGTGGAAACTGGGAGAAGAAGAAATCTAATTTCAATTTGAAAATTGGTGGCTTAAGGTGGAAGGGTTCAACAACTTGGTTAGAAATGGTGGAATGACATAGTGGTCGAAGGTTTCCCAAATTTCAAACTTTGTGCCAAACTAAAAATATTGAAAGATAAGCTCAAAGTCTAGAGCAAATTCATTCTTGGGGAACTTACTAATAGGAAAAAATGCACTAATGCATGAACTGGAAGAGCTTGAGTTAGCTCAAGATAATAGGGTCTTGACTGAAAACGAAATGGTAGTTAGAGCCACAATTCTTATGGAACTTGAGGTGCTGGCTAAAAATGAAGAGTCAAGTTGGAGGTAGAAATCCAGAATTTTGTGGCTGAAACATGGGGATAATAACACTATTTTTTCTTCAAAGAATGGCTTCTGAACACTGGAGGTACAACACCATTGATAGACTAGTGTCTCATGGGGTGGAAATTAAAGAACCTGGAGAGGTCTGATAGAATTCTACAACAAACTTTACGCAGAATTAAAACCCGAGAGACCATCCTTTTAAGATGGTAGATTGTCCCAAAATCACTCGAAAGCAACAAGATTGGTTGCAGAGACCTTTATCAAAACTAAAAGTGCTCTAAGTTGTAAAGCAGTATAATTGTGACAAAGCACCCGGACATGATGGCTTCACTATGCAATTCTTTAAAGAGTGTGTTTGAAGCATTTTGAAAGAGGACTTAATGCATACCATTCAGAATTTTCATAAAAAGGAAGTTTACGAGAAGTCATTAAATGTTACTTTCATAGCATTATGCCAGAGAAGGCAGGGCAGAAACACTTAGGGATTTTAGGCCAATTAGTCTGATAGGAGGAGTCAACAAGATTACATCAGATGATTTTTCTGAAGGATATGGACACAATTCTACTAGCCAATGAGTTGGTGGATTCTAGGGTGAGACAGAAGACCCCATGAATTTTGTGCAAGTTGGACATTGAGAAGGCTGATGACCATATTAACTGGTACTTCCTTCTCAAAGTCCTAAAAGATACAGGTTTTGGTACCAAATCAATAAACTGGATAAGTTATTGTATATCCATTATGAAGTTCTCCCTCGTCATAAATGATAGTAATAAATGGTTTTTTCAGTCACAAAGGGGCTTGAGCCAGGGAAATCCCATGTCTCCTTTTCTTTTTATTTTAGCCGTGGAGGATCTTTACCACATAATTAGAATGACAAAGAGCAATGGGTGGAATAAGGGTTTTTATGCTTCACCTAATAGGGGTAGTGCTATGGGAGCTACTCACCTATTATATGTTGATGACTCACTAGGTTTTTGTGATGCAGATATATCTTAGATCAGACACCGTAGACCTATCTAAATTATTTTTGAAGGTATTTTCGTATTGTATGGTAATTGGCATAAGAGCTTCGTCCACCAGTCAATCACATGAACAATTTGCAACTGCTAGCAGATACTCTTGAATGCCAAATGGTTCCCCTTCCAACCAAATATCTTGATTTACCTTTAGGAGCCAAAAACAAAAAGAATAAGGTATGGAATGAAGTCTTGGAAATAAGTGGCAGAAAACTATCAAGGTGGAAGTGCCAATATCTTTCTTTGGGAGGTAGGTTAACACTAATCAAATCTGTAATGAATGCCCTCCCAATTTATATGATGAGCTCGTTCACGATTCCCAAGAGTATAGACAAGAAGATTAATGGGTTAAGGAGATCCTTCTTGTGGCTGGTAAGTAAGGAAAAAATAGGCTACAATATGGGATACCCTCACACTCAACCAGAATGATAGGGGTTAGGAATCAAAAACCTTAATATCCAGAATGAATCCCTAATGCAGAAGTGGCTCTAGAGACTCTGCATAGGTGACAGGGCACTATGGAGAAGATTTATTGCTGAGAAATATAGTTTGCTAAACCAATGGTCTAATGAAGAGGTTTTGGGTACTTCTGGTTGTTGTGTCTGGAAGTTCATCAAAAGGTTGTGGCCACAATTACTAACATCTCCTTTAAAGTGGGTGATGGAGTAAGAATAGATTTTTGGAATGAACTTTGGATAGAGGAAAACAATTTGAGAACTTTGTTTCCTCGGTTATATGTCTTAAATTCACAAAAAAATACTTGAGTGTCACAAGTTTGGAGTCCCCAAGGATGGAGTTTGATTTTCAGGCGAGCTATGAATGACTGGAAAGTTTCAGAGATTGCGAAATTCCTTCAAGAAGATTGCAAGATTCCTTCAATTTTTTAGTATGTTTCCTATGATATTTATTAATGGAGCTGACAAACCTATTTGGTTGCTCCACAACAAAGGGGTTTTTACAGTTAAATCTTGCTACCGGAAGAAGAATAACAATCAATCCACAATAGGCTTCTGGCCTTAGAAGCAAATCTGGAAGGTCACTAGCCTCCTGAAAGTCTCTTGCTTCATATGGTTGGCAATTAGAAGAGCATGTCTAACTCATGAAGTGCTATAAGGAAAAGGAATGTAAATCTATTTAAGATGTTTTATGTGTGATCAGGATGCAGAGAACAACTTTCATCTATTCCTGCACTGCATAACAGCCACAAAGTTGTGGGACATGTTCCTCAGTATTCTTGGGGTCAATTGGGCAACGACAAATTAGTTGCTTAACAGTTGGAAAGGTATCAGTAGTGGAGGGTCAAAGGAGAACAAGTGGATGACCATTCCAGCATGTATCTTGTGAACACTATAGAAGGAATGGAATACCATGTGTTTTGAAAGCAAGGGCAGCAACATTCAAAAGATAAAGAGTCAGTCTTAGTTTATTGTATTTTTGGTATAAACAAGAGTTGGGGGATACAAGACTAGTTTAATTCACAAGTAACTTGTAAAGTTCTACTTTTGCATTCCTGTTGGAGGATTTCCCATACTTTGGTGGGTGTAAGATTCTTCCTCATCATTTCTTGGATGATGAGTTTTTTGTGAATACAAAGTTACCCTTGGCTAAAAAAAATGACCTAGTGGACCATACCCGTAACCTCTAAAGAATCCACGCCACTTTCTTTAGCGTTTAGGAGTTACAAAAGAGGAATTCAAGATTTGTTTTCAATTTTTCATGTGTATCAATTCATGAATATTTGAAAATATGTCTAAAATGGCTCTATTGACCCAATCAAATTTTTAATAAAGAAACGAAATGTAGGAAAACTTTAGGGTAGATAGGCTAGCAATTCATATAAATCTGGGTAATTTGCTTTCTACCAAAGTATGAAGTAAAAACATTTCATGACATACTTTAATGCTTAGGTTTTTCACATCATTCTTTGGAGTTGGGATTTACAAGAAACAATTTTTCTATCCCATAAAGGTAGGTAGAATTTACGTAGATCCTATCCTCCCCAAAACCCACTTGGGGATTACACTAGGTAAGTTGGGATTACCAGATTTAAGGGCATAGAGATATGTTAACCAGAGCAACACAAATATTATTGGCAGAATCCATCTCTTTTATGCACATATACATTATAAACACAACACATATAGGTCTTCAAGTTTTACATAACTGGCAAAACTATTAAAAAGTCGAGCGTTCAAAAGCTTTAAGAAAATGGATACAAATCAAACACAAGAAGGAAATGGCTTGGACTCCTCATCAAGATAATCTTGCTTAGCGGCCCATGGTTTGCTCGTTAGGGGGATCATAACGAGCACTTGTTGGGCGTTAAAGCCAGGATGAGGAAGCCTACGACGAAGCTCACGACCTTCTTGGCAAAGAGCACAAGGGTGGCAGAAGAAATGAGTTGCAAAGTCACAAATAGACTCACATTGCTCGCGCTGCACCTCGTCCTCAACAAAGCTCCCGCAGCACCCACTAGATCTGTTGAACGCCTCACAGCTCCCCTGCAGAGGATACAAATTTGGATTTACAAGCTCTAACTGGGATAAAACTTATAGAACTGTGACTGCAACCATCTGGGGGAACTTGAAGGAATATAAAAAGCTCCCTCATCCGATAAAGGTGAATTGATGCAGAAACAGCAACAAGAAACAAAAGGTGTAAGGTCTCACTAGTCTGCATACACACCACCTTCCCTAGACCCCCCCCCCCCCAACTCGTGGATTACACTGGTATGTCGTTGAATTCCCTTCTTTTTCTTTTTGATAAGTCATAAGCAGAATAGTTGCTCTACCTTCTTTTATCTATTTTACTTTTTTTGCAATAAATCCCTGCAAATCTCTATCCTTATACGAAGAAAGTTCAAGATTTACTGATAGTCCCGATCCTAACCAAAAAGATACATACATCCGAATGAAAAGTTAAATAGAGATAATTAACCAATTCTTAGGTCATGTCGCCAGTTAATTGATATGAATGAACTTTGTCTGAACCACTTTACATATTCTATAAGGATGTGTGAACCACTTTACCATTTTTTTATAAGGATGTGTAAACCACTTCACATTTTTTTATAAGAATGTGTGAACCACTATACCATTTTTTAGAAGGACATGTGAACCACTTTTATCTTTTAAAGTCAACCACAAAACTCTTACTGCTGAACTACCAGTTAGAAAGTATTTTTTACAACAAACCTATACACACGTACCGGACCAACAGTTATGAGCTTGGGCTAGGGTTAGACCATCTCCAACCCAACTCTATTTTACTCTCCATTCTCTATATTTGGAGAGTAAAATAGAGAAAGGGCTCTCCAACCATGATACAATTACAGAGAATTACAGAGAAGAAACAAATTCCAGGAGTAATCTCGAGGAATATGAACAGCGAGTTCAGGGATTAAACCCGAGAATTCAGCTAAAGAGAGAAATATAGCGAGAAGAAAACAATCTTATTAGCAATCAATTGAATGAATGTCAATGAGCTAATACAATCCTTTTATAGACTCCTAGAGAATGCTGAAACAGTTAAAATCCACAGCTACAGTAATAACAGAATTTAACCATCTAACAATGCTAACTGTTCTAACTAACTTCTGGACTTGTTAACAGAATTTGCCACATCAGCGATTAATTCTCCTTTTGCTAACTTGTATCAAACCACCCTCTAAATTACTCTCTATTCTCCATTTATAGAGAGGTGAATAGTAGTTCTCCAAATTTGGAGAACTGCTATTCACCTTTCTATTTCACTTTTTCACTATTTTATTATTATTTTCTATTATTTTGTAGTTAACATATTATTTTTCATATAGGCCATTAATTATATCTCTAATATTAGTAATTCATTTTAAATGTAATATAACATTTTTAAAAAATATATTATTTAATATATACTACTTTCATCCCGAATTAATAATGTTTCAATTTTTTTTAATTTTCGTCACTTTAATATAGATTGATATCATTATTATTTTCACTATGAAGAATGCACAAAATTAAAATGATAAGATGAAAATTTTAATTTAAAAAACAATACATGACATAATAATTTAACTACAAGATAACAATACATAACATAATAATTTTATCACAACGATAATTTAGTAATCCGGTAGTTCATTTTTCAGATTTAACAATATTCGGAAAAAAATAGTGTATGATCTACATAATTAGTGTAGTTGTGATTGCGGTTGTGCTTGTTGATTTCTTTTTTCAATTATTCGTAGTTGTTCTTGTTGAATGAAAATCTCCGATTTGAACAATTTTTAGCTAGACATAAAATGATTAAGGATAAAAATGTTCATTTTGAACTCCGTAATGCATTAATAGAGCATTTATGAGAGCAATGTAATAATCTTGAAAGTAGAGTATTTATGTAATTATATTTCACTAATAATTTCACTTTTATTTGAATTGTCCATTAATTTGTATATTATATAATATTAACTTGCAATTTATGTTATTTATAAATTTAGGAAAAATATAATTTTATATTAAGTAATGAATTTGAAAAAAATAATTTTTTATATTACATGAATATTATATAAAGTGATTATTTGGAAGAAAGGAAATAAAGGATGTGTATCATGAAATAAGAAAATAATAATGAAATAGAAATAATAATATAATATTGAGGAGAGAGAAAAAGATTTTTTTTAGAGAGTAAAATAGAGAATTGGGTTGGAGTTGGTTGTCTGAAAAAATAGAGAACTCTATATTTGGAGAGTAAAATAGAGATTAGGGTTGGAGATGCCCTTAGATTACAGTGTGCAAAATCCACATAGGACTTTCCAAAAATAGATTTTTCACTTTGATGCGGAAAATATATACAAAAGAGGAGGAAGATATGAAACAGAGCAATTGGAAAGAAGAAACACATACCACTGAAAGTAGAAATGAATTTGTGGATCATAACATAGAATGAGCTTAAGTAAATCATCTTCAGAAAGGTAAATTTTTTAGAAAGACAGCCTACCTCGAGATTGAACTTTCGGCGGATAGCTGTACGACTGGGATATGTAAAGCAAGGCGCCACACAATTCGAGCCAAAGAAGGATTGTCCAATCAGGTAGAGGCCAGTGTAAGGCAAGCAGTGATTGGCAAAAGTCCCTGGAGCAGAACCAAGTCTCTCAGCATTGCTCCCGTAGAGCACGCATGGGACCACGCTACCTAGTAAACCTGCAGAGCCATGATGGTCATTTATCAGATCAGTATGATAAATAAAAGCAAATTTAGGAGAAACCCGGAGAACTTCTGATCCCAGAAAGGAAAAGTATGTCTGGAACATCAACAGGAAAACCATATTGCAGAAATATAGCAATCAGACACAAGAACTAGCAAAAGTAGAATCAATCCAGTAAAGCACGGGATACATATAGAAACGAGCATGTGCGCATCTTGCTAATGGTCCTCTCTTTTGTTAGTGAATGCAAACTACTCAATTACATTAGACTGATTAATACCTTGAAAAAACAGTTTGTTGGCATCAAATATCTATAAACATCATTTAAAACGTTGAGTTAGATGTTTGTGCAAGATACATATGACTAGAAAATTAATATAACTTCGAATATTGATGTAGCAGATGCATTTGTGGAAAATAGACATTATTTCTTGAAGAACATACAAGATTCAAGGAAATACAATTTAAAAAATAAAGTGTTCCAGCTACTTCCATCTCAATATAGCTATTTCCTCACTTAACCAGGTCATCAAAAGAAGCAAAAATAAATTAAGAGAAGGGAATTTGGGGTACGACCCTTCCTTGGACACTACGTGAACGCGGGATGCTTTGGGCACTGGGCTACCCTTTTAAATTTTGGGCAACAAACTCCAACGTCTTAGTCATCAAAGTAAAATACAATTCCCCAGCTACAATTATCATCTATGACCATACATTTGCTTGCTAGTTCTTTTTCCATGAACATTAAGGAGCATATGTGCTCATAACTCAATATATGGAGAAATCATTCAATAAACACACTCACAAGGACCAATAGTTGATTTTAGCAAAGGCTGAACCTTTCTAGAGATTTCAATTCAACACCTGAACTAGAATTTCTAAACCTGATCATTAATGTTCTATACACAAACTAGATTGCTAAGTTTAATTAAAAAAAGATCGATCCACGAATTTTGATAAAAAAAAATAGAGACATTTTAATCCATCATAACACATAATCCAATCAATCAATCAACTATACATCAATCCTAAACTAATTTGGGTTGCTAAGGTTAATAAAGCAAAGATCATCCCACGAATTAAAATCCACAAACATTTAATCCATTATAGCATAAAATCTGAACAACCAATCAATCAATTGAACCTCAGTTCTAAGACTAATTAAAAACAAGATCATCCAAAGGAATTTCGATCCAAAATAGAGACATTTAATCCATCATAGCACATAATCCGATCTATCAACTACACCTCAATCCTAAACTAATATGGTTTGCTAAGATTAATCCACAAATTCTGACCCAAAAATAGACACACTTAATCCATCATAGAACATAATCCGATCAATCAATCAACTACACCTCAATCCTAAACTAACTTGGATCGCTAGGATTAATTTTTTTAAAACAAAGATCATCCCACAAATTTCAATCCAAAATAGAGACATTTAATCCAGCATAGCATAAAATCCTAACAACAATCAATCAAATGAAACTCAGTCCTAAACTAATTTGGGTCGCTAAGACTAATTAAAAACAACAAAATATAGACATTTAATTCATCACAGCATAAAGTCTGATCAACAATCAATCAACTACACCTCAATCAAAAACTAAAACAAATTTCAAGAAAATACTCACAAACTTCAATATCACTGCTGCAGAATTCATCAGTCCTTCCAAAACAAGCACAAAGTCCAGAATCCCACTGAGCCCTATTCATAATCGGGTCACCCACAACTCCATGACCCATGGGAACCCCTTCAGCTGTCCATCCCATCGGAACAGCAGCCGATAAAGGCTTCACCGGATCCGCCGGAAACGGTGGAACTGGGGTTGTTGAAGAAATGGGTTTATTGGGTTTCTTCTCATCTTTCACCTCAGATTGTTGATTGGGTAAAAGTGGGTTCGATTCATCGGTATTTTCCATTGGGATTTTGATGAAATCAAGAAAATTTATGAGAGATTTGAAAGATTGATGAAGAAATTTGTGTATGTATAATACTCTGTAAATCCGTGTGGAATTGGTCCTTTGTTAATACTGCTAAGTCTTCTTAATTAGTCAACTTTTGGACCTTTCATTCCCAAAAAAAAAATACTCGTTCTGTCCAACATTAATTGTCTAACTTCTTAAGAAATAATAAATAATAGGATAATATATTATACTATTCTTTGATTTTATTAAATATAATATTTTGAAAAATATGTTAGATGATAAATAGTATTTAATAGTAAGAATAAAATAGACACAAAAGATAAATTATCTCTTGATTTTTTAAATTGGACAAATATTGTTAGATAATTATTTTTAGTATAATGGACAACTATTGTTAGATGGAGAGAGTATCATTTTAGCTTATTTCAAATTCAGTAAAAATAAAAGGGATAAGGCATAAGTACTCCTAGACTATGACCGAAATTTCAGAGATACACCATAACTAAATTAAGGTCATATTATCCCGAATTCATTTTTTTGTAATATTGTACACCTTTTTTGGCTTACAGGGCATCCAAACATCTCCCACGCACCTCAATTATATGAAGTCACGGAGTGTGCCACGTAAGTTAAAAGGTTTATAAAATTACAAAAAAAAATGAGTTTAGCAGTAATAGGGCCTTAGTTTAGTTAAAATGTATATCTGGAATTTCGGTCATAGTCTAAGGAGTACTTGTGTCTTATCCCAAAATAAATAAAAGTATCGGTTACCGAGTTAATTCTATTTATTAGATATTTGAAAGTGGTTGATATATTTGAAAATAATTAGACATAATACATAAGTATGTCAGTTAATATGAATTCAGTTGATTGTGCACAAATAGGCATGTAGGACTCATTTGTTTGCGCTGAATCTTAATCATTCAGATTCAGCCCATTAAGTGCGTTTGATTTTTAGATCTGATTTTGAATCATTCAGATTCAGCTCATTAAGTCCATTTGTTTCTTTTCTTTTTTTGAAAAGGTCTCTTAATAGATCTAAAAAGATCTAAACGAAACAGATTTATAGGAGAGTCTTAACAACATTCAGACTTATATAATAAGTTATAAATTAATACAATTTCGCCTTCCTCGCTCTTTGTTTGACTTTGCTTTCACAGCTACAAACTTTCTTCCTCTTTTATCTCAATCAAACACCATATTTCCCCTCTTGAACTGGTAAGTTTTCATAATCTTTACAAGTATTTTTTTTTATATTAATAAATTTCTCTTGTTACAATAATATTTTTGGTGTATTAATATTTATTAAGGATTTTGAGTGAAAAATAGTAGTTACGATTAAAATTAATAAATATGTATATATATTTGAGGTCTCTTATTAGAATTTTGTCTTAGGCCAATAATTTACTTGAAACTCTTTGATCATCAAACTGCTTTTGGACATAATATCTCTAGCTTGAAGAGGTCTTGGCATAAGTTTTAATTTCATGTACATTTTGTCCAAAAATTCTCTCCCATGTGCTCTTTATGACTTGTTGGCGAAGCAGATGAGTAATACTTGAGTTGGCCATTTCTTTATCATTAGTTAACTCACAAGTCTACCTGATTCTGAAAATTATGTTTCTAATTATCATATTAAGAATGTTTTACTTTGTTAAACCGATGTGCTCTAGTAAGTTATATAACTTAAATTATTATGAAATAATTTTTAAACTCTTTATTGTAACCATTTGAACATTATTTTAATATCAAATAAGTACTATCTATGTGAAGCAGCATATTCAAATACTTGAGAATTTCTAGCACTATATCACAACATTCGATATTGATTAGGAGATTATCATCGTAGGTGGGTTATTAAAAAGGAGGGAAAATTTAACCATGGTCATGTACAACTTGAAAAGGTTATAGATTGTGTTTATGGAGTTCTGAAAGTAAGATTTTCTATATTGAATAAGGTGTCTTCATATTCTATTGATGTTCAGAGATGTTCAGAGAGATGTTGTTATGGCATGTTTTGCACTTCATAATTTTATTAGGAAGTAGCATATAAATGATGACCTTTTTAATCAATACGAGTCACCTTAATTAATATTTTACGAGAAAGAAGAAGAACACAAAGAAGTGTTAGATGACACAAATGTACCTGGTTGGACAACTGCAGATTCATAGATAATGAGTAATATGTGTGAAGAATTTGCACTTCAACTACTGCAAAGAAACGAAAATACTTGAGAGTTTTATTTTTTCATTATTTGGCATATTTTATAATATTTGAACATTAGAATTTGATCTTACTGTTTTGTAGTTAATTATTAAATTATCTTAAATCTGACCAATTGAATCGGCACAAGATTTGATTAGTTCAATAATTATTTTTATGGAATGATGTTTATGTTAAATTCTTTAAAATATTTATATAATCATATAACTTAATTTTTTAAATCAAATATAAGGATTTAAAATACTTTTTTTAATAAAAAAATAACATTTTTATTTTGTTGAAATGAAATTTATATGCTCATTCAGATATAGAAAACAAATCGTCTTAATCATTCAGTGCAGATCTAGAGACCACGCCTTAATATTCAGATCTAGACAATTAGATATTAATGCACATCTTAATATTCAGATACTTATTCAGATTTAGACATATGAATCTTAATAGAAACAAATAAGGTCTTAGACTTGTATAAAATTGAACAAGTAGGCACACGCATCCTGCGAGGCATGATACACGTAGGATGCCAATATGACACATAATTTCATATATGATATCATGTAGAACGAATGTGCCTATTTGTTCAATTTTATACAAGTTTAAGTGTCTACTTGTGTTTGTAGTGGCTGCGGGTTATCCTGGAGTTCCAAAAAAAAAGTGTTTACTTGTACACACCCAAAGTTAGAGGGCATAATGTCACTTGACGCAAAGTTAAATGACATGCTTATGTACTATCTTACACCCTCCGTCCTCCCATATTAGTTGATCATTTTCCTTTTTTCACACGCATATGAAGAAATCATAAATAAGAAGATAATTTTATTAATTTACCCCTTAAAAACTTTTTGGGAATGTGGACACTTTCAAAAATAATTAATTGCAAGGGCAATATAGGAAAATTTTAATTAATGTTTTCTTGATTTAGTAAGATGAACAACTAATCAACTATTTTTAATAAGATAATCAACAAATATGGGATCAAAGGAGTATTACTTTATCTCAAATTTCTAAACCAATACTTATTTTGGTATTTTTCTTTTTGCTAAAACGATATTCATTACTCTCTTTGTAACAACCCATTTTATCATTTTGAGTATTAGAGCTTTTATTGTATAAAATACTCTTCCGATATATTTTAAATGAGTGTTTTGGACTATTCGTAACTACAATTATGATATTAGTGGGGTAGTTTTTATAATTAGGTTACTTGGTGGTTATAGAAGATAGCATTAAAACAAATAGTGGACCATTTCTACCACCCCATAATTAGGCTTAATAATAATTAGGGATTTCCATCGTGAGTTAGAAACTCAACAAAACTTCCACTACAGCGATACAAATTGCAGAGAGGCCGACGAGTACTTCAGGTAAATCCAATATCCAATATGTATTTGGTGAACATGAACAAAGGTTTTATGATTATTATTAGATTATCGTTATTAGACTAGAATTTGAAGAGAACGAGTTCTCAGTGGTAGTATTAGGTTGACTTCTGATGATTAATGGCGATAGGTGGTTGAATTGTGATTAATTTCTGAGTGGTGGTGTAAGGAAATTATGTAGTGCAAGAGTAATAATATGGATTTGTATTTTCATTAAACTGTAAGGGAAATTATGGGTAGTGATTATTGTTGCTTTGTGTTGAATAATTGGGTGAAAACTTCGGTGGAGACAAACTTGTCTCTCTGTTCATTATTTAATTAAATTATTGTTAAGTACTAAAACCATAGATGGCAAATTATTATCTATTGAATTTAGCGAGTGGATTGCAGGCGAAAACTTTATAAACTTGAATGGTCACTGTCATGTTTTGATAATTTTGAAATGGCTTTCGTGTGTTTGCTGCCACTGGTATCGTGACCAGTGGCTTCAGTTTTACCATATTATAAACTAAAATTTGATAGATTGAGGTAGAGGTAATTAAATATATGGTGTAGTATATTATATGAATTACATTAAAGTTATGCTAATGGGAGGAATTAAGACTTGCCCTTAGGTTTGAACTTTAGGAAGTTGATTATAGAATTAGGTGAGTTTTTGGGTATAGGAGGGACATAGAATAATATGAGTGTTTATAGGCTTGTTAACTTACAAATTATGCATATATACTTGATAGATTGGAAAGGTTCGGAGACATTGAGGAAAGGAAAGGCATTGGAGAAGTAGCTTGCCTGACGTTAGTTCTTCGGTGGAGGTAGGTTATGGTTTGTTCTATTTGATAGATAAACTCTTAATAGCGATTGATATGCATTGACTGATATTGTGAAGTTCTCTATGTACTTGACTGTGTGATTGTGTGGCTTGATTGTGTGGTTGTGATTGGTCTAAAATCCTGAGACCGTGGGATTTATAATCTGAACACCTCTCTATTGAAGTTATGCCTTGAATAAAGAAGGCTTGATGTAATATTATTAATGAACTGAAAAGTAGTGATAATAAATGATAAATTAATAATATTATTGGATCGGAGTGTCACGTTCCGACACGGTATTTTTGGATCGGAGTGTCACGTTCCGACACGGTATTTTTGGATCGGAGTGTCACGCTCCGACACGGTATAATTGGATCGGAGTGTCACGTTCCGACACGGTAACCTTAAAGGAAAAAGATATTGAATTAACTTAATGTACTCAATCTCAATGAACGCATTTCCCAAACGAGTGTGATGTAGAGGCATGAGTCCTCGTGTGTGTGCTTGATATTGTGATTGATTACGTACTTGCTTCAATTGTTACTTGTTCATGTTGTGGTTTCTTATCACCTGCTAAGTGCTATAGTTGACTTTATACTATTACTCATTGTATATTAGTTTCTATTTTGGGTTGGCCGATGATACCTACTCAGTAAGTGTTCCTTGTACTGACTCCTACTTGTGTTTTCTG